AACCCAATGAAGTAAATTGATTTTCACGACGAATTCTTGGTATCTCTTTTAAATGGAATTATTTAATCAAAATAAAATTCTTGTGAAAGAGGCAAGCGTTACTTAGCAGACCTTACTACCGATTCTACCCTCGTCCATTAATTTTTTTCTTTTTTCTTGTTACTACGTGACCAAAAAGACTGTCATAATTACTTAGTATGTGTGTGATATATCTTTTTATTTATACTATAGTTAATAAATGAAGTGAAGATATCATTTTCCACTGTTGTCCTGTATTAATTTCGTTGTCTATTGTCATTCCACTTACCGCTGCAATTGAGAACAGTTTGTAATTTAAATTGATCTCTTTGTAACAGTGTTCTCTTAATTCATTAAATGCTAGGTACCTTTGATTTTCTAATAATTGACTTAAAATTTCAAGTACTGAGCAAGTTACTAATACCTTATGAATAGATTGAACTCTACGTAATGACTACAAAAAGAAACAAGTAAAACAAGTGAAACAAGTATGAATCTCATTTGACTGTTTCAACTTACCACAGACACATCTATAGTTTGTATTGTAAACCAACATGTCTTCGTACAATTTCGAGTTTATAACTTGGGACCTATATCTTGTGCGCAACTCCGAAGTGTTTGCACGTGTCGTAATAACAGTTAGGTATTACTTATAGCGACCGCCACGAACTTGATGTACGGGGACTACGCCATCAGACTTGTCGGTGTGATCAAACTTAATGAGATCTAGCTTTTCCTCTGGGTTTCATATTATGTTATACTACAATATATTTTTATATTTCGTATTTTTGAAAAAACTATGTTTAAAAATAATATTGAAAAATATGCTTTCCATTAATATTAGCTTTTTTTTAAAGGGGGAAAATCATCGAATGACTGCTCCCGCCTCGGTGTGGCGGACTCTTGCTGACTAAAAACCACCCCGTTCCTTCTCCTGCACGTCGATCCGGAGCCCCGGTTACCCGTTAGGAATATTAGCTTATAGGTCGAGTTTAATCTAGAAAAAAAAACTGAGTCAAGATTGTGATACTGATTTCTCCGTATATAAAAACCAAAGCCAATTTCCTTCAAACAAGGTATTAGTTAGACGCGCCGCGGCGCGTTGGTGGTAGCTATGCGACTACCTATGTAACTTTTAACTAAATGAATATAATTTTGTTTAACAGAAAAATTATAAAATTATTTTCAAGTATGATAAACGAATAAAATCTTACTCAGATATCACACGAGAACACTTGCAACCAACGATTCAACTCACCATAAAATATTATTATAAGTCTTAAACATGTGGGTTAGCGTCATTATTCTTATATTAAAACTAAAATGTCGAAGTACCACTTAACCCCACGTGTGAAAGCAGTAAAAACTGAGTTAAGATTACAGAAATCCATTAATATCAATGAGGTTAACTCGCCCATACCTTACCTAGTCACTATAACTCATTGCTCGGCTAACCGTTTCACCGCTGATTCAGTGTCGAATTCATGGAAATCGATTTGATACGCTGTAACCTTAATGTATTTTTTGTAAAATATTATAACATACACTTAATTTTGTAAAGGTTTAAAACAAAAAATGTACTTAGGTACTCGTATTAACTTATTCTTTATCTAGCCCGAGGCTTAAACTCACTATCTTGTAATTTGCTCAGCAGCGGAGTAACGTTCAGTCAACTCCCAAAAACTCGTTATGTACCTATATGTATGTAAATGTATATACGAGTACATATGTGTGCAGCATCGGTGTGAACAGTGTAATCAGATTATTTATGTGTGCGAGACTGACGACCGCAGCACGATCATGGCTGCGGACTTATTGCATTATGTCACCGCTTGAGGGCGCCCTAGTCTAACGCTCTTCTCGCATTCTCGTGTTAACACAACACCATCCACTACTGAAATTAGATGGTACAGTTTCACCGGCAGAATTATTTAATTATAAATTATATCATATCATTGACAGCAGTGTCCTGTGTTGTAATTACAATTTATACTTTCTCCATAATATAAAGAACTCATGATTACCATAATCAATCTACATTTGTGATAAGGAGGTCTTTAAGGTTTTAAGAATTTTATAAATGTTTTTATAATAACTATCGTGACACATACTGAATTAACTAAAACTCGCAGGTTACTCACGTGAGGTTTAGTTAATTTTATAAAGGTGGAAAACTCTTGATTCTAGTCGATTTATATCTTGTTTAAATACCTAATTGTAATTCATGAAGACAATAGTAATTTAGGCCTCATTTACGAATACAACAGCAAATGATGACGGTACAGCGACGGCACACGACCGGAGCACGTGTTTAGTTCATCGCAGAATAAGTTTAGGGTGCAATATCTAATGTATAAAAGACATACTTCTGTCCTCTCAAGTGCTGCACAAAGTTCACTAACCTCATCTTAAAATACAGCGCTTCTACCAAACAATGGCAACTCTTTTATACGAACTTGTTTCATAACAATTTTACATGTTATGTTATTGGAAAATATTGTAGGTACTCAATTTGAGATAACAATACTCCTTGCGTTTGTATTTAACCAAGCAAAGAATTCGTTGAACGAGTACCTAGGCTTGAGTTGGCACAAAATGTTCCATATACATATTTGTCATGTGGTAGTTATTCGAAGGCGTCGGTGTACACCGACACATTGAGCGCCAACGAGACGGAATCATAGTGAATACGTTGAGTTTATCTCAGACGTTTATCTTCGCTTTATTCGTCTCAACCCCTCATCTTTACCGGTTGCTACAAATGAGTGTTGCGTATCGACACTGCCTGGGTGTCCTTTTTTGAAACGTAGATACGACACTTGCTACGTTCTTGTACATGACGTCTTGAATATTAAAATAGCAGCAATATGCGTTGCATATCTATGTATAAACTCCTTGTATATGCTGAAATTGTGAACCACGCACACACATTGCATTCCTCGCACTTAATTAACCCTGTCACTACTGCAACAACGAAGTTGAACCAGCAATTTTAAGTAACGTAGCAATTATTAAAATATAACAGCACATTGCACAACATTTACAAAGACTCCATTTGTCTGCAGAAGAAGCTCGCAAACAGAATAGTTCGCATAATAAGTTGGGAATAGGACTCGGCAGTAGTGAGCCGAAAGCGGCGGAACTTAGCTCAACAATAAAGTTGAAAAATCGAGGGGATTGCTGCGCTGCGGGGCCGCACGGAGAAAAAACGACGCCAACATTTCGCACTTAATGAAACTGTAGCTGAAACAAAATAAAGGAATGTATTTACGGCCGGCAATAAGCATTGTTCCAAGAATACTCCAGTTACAGAGCCCGCTCCTAATGGCGGAGATAAAATATTCGAGGTGTCTTATAATTATTTAATTGCCGCCTTTCTCTATTAGCCACCGGGACAATTTACGACCGCGATCGACGTTAACACACTGTAATTGGTTCACGTTGATTAGACAATGGATAGTCTCATTCATAATTATATCTTTATTTACTATGGTAAAATATTAAATGCTTATAATTATACATTAAATTATATGGTGGCACACTTAGATTCATATTTAAGTGTGCCACATATTTTCTCCTTAGTATCAAAGGATTAATTTTAATAAAAATCCTTTGCGTGGAGCGAGGGGTGTCGGACGCTGCAAGTGCGGTGTAGTGGTGTAGGAGGCGGGCTCAGCTCAGTGCAAGTTTTAATTACTTCGCCCCCACTTCGCGAGCTTGTTCCTAGGATGGGGCTATTTCGTCTCACAACTTAAAACTCTCATTTATAAACTGTGTTTTCTGTAGATTTTTTAAACTTCTGAATACCTAATAAGAGCTAGTTACAACATTTTTAAGGCTTCTAATTCAGTTTATTTTAAACGATTCGAATTGAGTTGAGAGTGATAAAGTTCTCATGATTCAAACATTACTTAGTGCATATTTTCAACTAACTTGTTTGTTTCGAACAGTTTGTATAACGAACTGCGGTTTGTTTCAAAAACATTTGAGCTGCCTAGTATAAGCAGTAGGTGTGCCTTAATGGCCCAAATGTTACAGCAACGAAGTTTATAAAATCGACGAGGGGCAACACTAGTGTGTAACGGCAATCGGTTCTGGGTCGTTTAGATCACGCAACCCCTATCATATTATTATCAAACACTCGGAGGTCAAAGGATTTCCAAACGTTGGAGAACGGCCTAACTTATCTCCGGCATCTTTCTTTTACAATATTATCCGACGTTTTACGTCTAAATTGGTTAATTAAATGTTTGGCTCTAGGTAATCTTTGAACACAAAGTCATCTCGTTTGGTTTAGATTAAAGCGGAGTCCTATTTAGGTGGTTAATCCTATTTTTTCTAATAATCTGCCAGACAAAGAGTAATCAAATGAAATGAAGGAAAAGGGATGTAAACGAAGCAACTTTATTTTTAAGGTTACGAATTTTATGAATAATATTAAACTTTGCTATGATATTAAAATGAAACAAATCAAGCGGAAAAGGTACCTTAACGATTATAAAAACCTGGAGTAGAGGAAATAACACGTCCTGTCTTCAATAAAGGAAGAGAAAGGTGTGGCGGGGAGAGGAACTGATTATTTTTGATCGTTCGCTAATGCCTGCCTGTGGGACAAAGGCAGCTATCGATCAGCCCAATTCCACGCCGACTAATTGCCGACAATTGTCTACCGCTTTTATCCGGCCACTCTTTGTGCTGGCGAGCCGCGGGTCGCTCCATGACTTGACTGTTCCAACCCTTGTAAATCATACCGAAAGGGAAATGTTGACACTAATACTAACTTTTATTTTAAACCTTTGTACTTTTCATATTATTATTAGACGCAAGTAGGTACCTATATTCAGTAACACAATGAACCCCTTGTTTTAGTATTGTGAACTGATATCAGGTTCTTTAATTAACCACTTGTGACACATAAACATCAGCAATTTAAATCTGCTTTATTATATCCATCGAATCTAATCATATTTTTTGTTACACAGCGCATAATGGACAGTGCAGAGGCAGCTGCTTTATCAGCAGGCAATGCGGGCAGCGATGGGGCTCCAGGGTCATACTATGACGCTCGCTGGTTGAACGTGCACGCAGACGACGGGACCCTGGCAGCGCGAGCACGCCGGCTGACGCTGACACCGAGTAGACATTTCGACCACATCGCCGTCAACACCAGCTACAGCGCTGTGCTCATGCCACCATACATCAACACTGAAGGTACGTATGTATATATGTGGGAAACATACAAAGTTCTTATTTGAAACCAGATAAGACCCTATGTACAAAATGTATGCTTAACAGGTTATTACATAAAGCATGTGTGTTTTGTATGTTTATAAAATCACTAAGTAGATTACTGACCCTGTAGGATAATAATATAGAACTAAATAAATATGTAAAATGAAATTAAACCCTGCGATGAAGTAGGTTCACGAAGGCAAAGCATTAATTAACTACATAGTAATTTCTTTATTAAATACACAGAATGAAAATAAATTGCTACCGGTATATGAGGAAGACCTGTAAAAATCAATCAACGAATTCTGTAGAAAGTAATCGTAACTGGTAAAGAATCTTCTGCGACAGCTAAATCCACTTGATATAGAATTAAAACAACGTTGGATTCAATTTTATGTTTTACGCAGAATTATAAAACGTAAGCGAAAAATACAAGTTCTCTCCATCCCTAAATAATGTGCGCTAATATATTGTTGACACACGGGACGCGCGGGCGGGGCGGGCTCAGAGCTCAGGGTAGCCACCGCCGATGATTAATGGACAGATTGACGTATTCCTCACTATTTAGTAGCGCTCACTCGAACAAACGTTATTTCAAATCTATGATGAATTTTTGTTTCGATTCCGATTCCTTCGTAATTGTATGTAACGAATTTTCCCGGTACTATGTTGTGAAGTTATTAGACTCGATCGATTCCAAAGTTTAATAATTACACGCCAATGGCTTGAGGTGTTTACTCTGATACAAGATCAGAGGAATACATATATCGTAACTTACCTGTTATCTCTAATAAACGTGGTATTCCGCATTGAAAGAACTTACAGCTAGGTACAAGTGTATGTATGCAGACAAAAATATGCAAATGTATACTACCCACCCACAATATCCTTCACGCTTCCAGAAGCCCCAAAATATCGTTTGGTAGCCCGTATTTAATTTAAAGGGCGTAATTACATAGGCCCTGATGCGTTTATTTAACAAACCCATAGTACACAGGCGAACCATTAATTTTTCCGGCCGGCGATCCAGGAGAAAGCAATCACGGCTGCCCAATGAACCAAGTTTGCCAATTAGACTTCTTTTAATGGGTAGTTAAAGAAAATCTCCCTAATTGGTGGACAGAGTGCCAACAGTGTCGCGATTATCCTCTATTGTATAACGAAAACTTCTGCATTCATACATTATTCATAAGTTTAACTGCACGTAAAATTATTTACATATAACAAACTGACTTGCTCGTGATCGCGGCCAAGATACGACCCATTTTATCCGTTTTAAAAATAGTTATTTAGTATAATGCACATAAACCTTACTAAACTTTAGTGTCCTCACAAGAACTAGACAAATATCGACCATGTTTTATATTGTTATATATGCGAAAGTTTATGAGGATGTATGTATGCATTATTTACATATTCGCTGAACTTTATAAAGCAACCAGATTTAAGATGGATTGTAAACAATCTGATTTTTGTTTCTATTAGTAATAAACCTCTACATAATTTGCTAATTAAACATTCCCGGAAAAGTGGTCCGCAATAATAACGTAGCTATAAAATATTGTCCAAGTTGGAGACAAGTTAAAACTTGGCCCTGTTGTCGCAGATGGTGAGGTTCAGAACCAGATCGCGTGGTCGGAGCACTTGGACCCCCTGTTCGTGAATAACTACGAGATTGATCCGACGCTCTCTTGGCAATACTACGCTTCTTCCACCGGATTCATGAGGCGTTACCCAGGTATGTAACACAGTCTATCTTTTTCTTCTAAATTAGATACAGCTTTAAAATATAAAGAAATATATATAGATACGAATATGTATAAAATACTCTTGTCGTGTCAAAGTCTGAAACCACTTGCTACGAATGCTACGAAATTTTCGTTTGTATGCTACGAGCGCTACGTAAATGTTTGCGTAGACGAAATATAAACATTTACATTTTCTTGTATTCGAATGATTTTTACTTGAAAACATAAGAAGTTAATTTACTTGTTTAAATTATTCAATTAATTTGAAGTGTTAAATATTTACTGTTAGTGCCGTGCACAGAACAATTCTTTGAACGATCCACATTTGATCTAAGTGTGATGTGTATGTGAAATTTTATCCTAGTGTGTCCTTAAGGAAGGCTAATTAACCCAGTTATATTTTTGTGATAGCAATGTCCTGGCCTCCAGAAGATGGATACTCACATCACGCAAGAGACTTCTACGACTTTCGGTCTTCAAATTGGTTTGTGGAAGCAGCAACATCTCCTAAGGACCTCGTGATCTTGCTTGATGACTCCGATGACCTGAGCTCGTCTTACTGGCGGTTGGCCAAGTCCACCGTCTCCGCTCTTCTGGACACTTTAGGACCGAATGATTTCGTCAATATCTATCGATACAGCGACACGATATCTGAACTACACTCATGTTATACGAAGGTTTTGGCTCAGGTAAGCACAATTTTACTAAATATTTATTTTACATTCAACAATTTTATCCTTTAGTTTGGAAAAGATATTCTTGAATAGCGTAAAGAGCGAATCCTTTACGCTTAGATTGAAAACACATTTATCATAGGATATTCCTCGAAAACCAAATCTTATTTTAATATTAAAAGTATCCTAGTTTTTGATCTGAGCTCCGATTCATCTTTAACTTGGCAAGTTTCGCTGAAACCGGTTTTAAAATTCCAACGATTTGAATTATTAAGAAACGTGAGTAAAATATTAAAAATATATTTTACGTGAAAAGTTTCGCTAAATGATAATATTTGAAACAAAAATAATGGGTGAAAGATGCGTACCGTGATACATATTATATTAATAACGGTCGTGTTATAAGCTTAACATTGAGTTCAAAGCGGTCGGGCTCGAAGCCACGACCTTTCGATCCAAAGTTCACGCCCTGAACGATGGACTATTGGCTTTTTATTAACGTTAGTTTCGATATTATTGAATGTCAGTGGCTCTAAGTGGCTTATAACTTTGCGAACATTTCTTTCTATCGTATTTATAAGTGCGTCTGTCTGTCGAGATTTCGTGTTTAGTTATTACATTTTCTATGCCAGCGCCATGTTTGAAATGTAGTACTTACTTACTTTGGTAGTACTTACCTATTACTTATAAAAAATGATGTTGTAGTAATTGCATTCTTACTGGGTACCATTATTGCTGAACGAGATCCTAAGTATAAATTTCGATTGTGAAAGTATTACATACATAATATAGAAATTTTACAATTTAAAAGTTAAACTAGTTACGGCTATAGATGTATTATTTTCATAGAATAACTAACAACTGAAATTAGTAGTAGCCTGCAGTAACGTTATACAACGCTACCTACACGTTTGAGGAAAAACAATCATTAATTTATATTGAGTTCACCGTGACTAGTGGGTAGATAATAATTATGAGTGGGTGGTTGGATCATCAGTGTTTATTTATTTACACGCTATTAGGATTCAATGACTTGTGCTCCAATTTGGAGTAGGCGTTTTAATCTACAGTTATACCTCCACGTGGGTGTCAAAACTCTGGTCATTATGAAGCAAGTTGCATAACTTTGCACGACGTCATCATTAGATTGCATTTCATTAATTTGTATGATATTATAACACACCTTTAACATGAGTACTATAGTACCTATTTATGAATATTATAATTCTAAAGTATTAATAAGTCGAAAATAAGGTCGATTATTCAACAGTGGTGCTTGTGACTACATAGCCACAGACTCTAGTATTCTTTATTACATACTACCGAAAATTATAACATAAATAAAGTGTACAAGTACCACTTAGGGATCGTTTTATAAAACATGTCTAATAGTTTCCAACACGTTATTATCTAAGCTCTAACAACAATCTAGAGCAATTATACTACATAAGTTTAATTAAAACAAGGGTAGCTGGTACAGGTGGGCGGAACAAACTGTTTAATGTCAGCACTGATTTAAACATGACGTAAATTCCACTCGGAATTGCCTTCCTACACTTTTGGGGCTTTTAATATCGGTTTATGCGTGTCAATTACTGGTGAGGCACATTGTCCACGATCTCGTATTACTGCGCGATCTAGGTCACGCCAAGATAACACCACGTTAAGCATTATACACCAAAAATTGAATGAAAAATACGAACACGGAAATGTGCGACTGATATCGAGATGAAATTAAACGAACGCGGTCGAGAGCTCTCTTCTGTTATTAATGTGTTTTTTGTATCATCGCAATGTATATGAATGGAAAATAGTAATTTTAAAAGAATCATCACTGCTTCGCAGTCATGGATCAATCACAGTTTTGTGCTCATTCTATGTTCGAGTCTCGAATCAGACAATGTTAATTATAAATATTATTTCCGTTCACAAAACTTGAACAATATTTAACAATTTTCGAAAAGGCGAAAGACGGAATTCATGAAACATATTTTTTTTGTTGGTCCTTGATACAATTTGTAGGTACCACTAATTAAGCCAATTAAAACCTTCATTTTTATGAACATTAATATTTTTAGAAGTTCGAATTCATCAAAACGACTATACCTATTACTTCATTACAAGATAAATGTTCTAAAAGTCATTTTTTACCATGATATTCTTTCTCTTTCCGAAACATGAAGGAAATGTTATGTTCTATTATTCTACCTTATAAATTATATAAAAATCTTGTAAAATATCCATACGGAATATCTTACATTAAGATGACTTTAAGCCACCGTATCTCCGAAACCACAAACATTTGACAATTAGTACATAGTAACTAATATTCCGCTTAAAAAGCCCTATCCAACGGTATATCACATGTTACTATTGAAGGGTGGGCCCAGACTCCATACTTTGTTTCCCATTGGACATAACCTCAAACATAAAACTGATAATAACTCTTAGGACCCAACTTCTATAAATTTTAATAGGGCTTGTCTATTATGGTGGCTATCAATTAAAATAAAAAGCATTCAACGAATTTTTTTCACTGTACGAAACTCCCATACAAGCCTGCCATTCGCCTTTAAATAATAGAATCAATTCCTGGTAAATTTAATTTTAAAACTAAGTACATTTTGTGAGGGGTGATTACAATTAACCATTCTAAAGCGGGGCTTCTCGTTTAATCTCCAAAACAATGAAGATACATATCAGCATGTTAGACGGTAGGGAATTGTGGATTCTAATAAGACCTAGTTAATTAAAGACCAACCAGCCAGTCCGGCACAACTCTAGGCCCACAATGCCTTAGCGTATACCTACCTAATTATACAAGAAGCAATTTCAATTAAGGTACATAACCGCATACCATCCTTGGAGGATACACGACCGGTGAACCCAGATGGATTTGTCGTTCTATATACGTATGTAAGTACTTACCTACGTTTTGTTTGATCAGAACTTAAGTACACATGATTTTCCCAGAACAGAAATAAAGATTTTTACTAGGGACAATTTCATGGAACGAATTTTATTTTGATTAAACGACACAAAATGTTCATGTTAGAAAGACCCAAATAAATATCGTGTCATTTATGTTATTTTCGTTAGAGAGAAATTGAAATTCCTTTTATATTTCTCGTCGTAAGTTTTCTTCTAGTATCTATAATGCATTATCAAAAATCATAAAAAAATTGTCGTCCGCCCAAATGTTTAGATAGTTTTGGCTACGCGCTAAGGAATTATCTGACGACCTTTGAGATTAGATTATAATACATATGCGTTTTATTAATAAGAAGAAAACAGACATTACAAAATTAAGCCACTAGACTTGAAAACAATTTCATTGTAAACCTTTGTAACTTTAACAATGACCGGTGATGGTTGCTATAATTAAAACCAAAGGTATTTCATATAACATAACGGCCGCTACAGCTAGCCGCAACCGCTGCCGTGTGCTAGGTTGTGGCCGCAATATGCTCTAGGGTACACACGGAATAGCTACTTGGAATAGAAAGCCAATGTACCTATACCTAACGAAATCATATACAATATAACCATCAATTATTCTGAATATATAAAATTGACAGTATATGTACACATTCCATTAATTTCAGCTTACGTCCGACTATCGACCTTCACAAAAAAGTCAACCAGAATTTCTGAGCAATAAAATACTTAATAATATTTCATATAGGAATCCGACAATATCGACAATGAATTTCTTTAATATCGTCGAACCAAAATGCCATTTGTGGACCAAATTTTAAATAATTAATATATTAGATGAGCAATTTACTTGTTACTAACCATATTACAACGGTTTAATAGTTTGATGAAGAACCAAATTTTTTACATAAATGTCAAAGTCAGACGACAATAACGACCTAGTTTTATTGGTTTCTGCCACATGGAAAGTGTTCCGACACCGGTACTTCCTAAAACCACCTGTACACAAGAATGTAAATGATGGCAGCAAATGCAAGTATCGCGTGTTGAGGCGGCGCGCCGCGCGGCGGCAATTCGGCACCGATACCCATCTGTCATCGTGTGTACGCACATTAATGGATTCAATAAAGTCGACTTTAATGCGACACCATTAACATTAGGTATGAGATTATTATAGTTTATGTTTATGGAGACAAAAGCCACGATCAAGTAATAATTAATGTAATCGTAAAGCAATGTTCACATTTATTTAATGCATGTATGTAATTTAGTGATTTCTCTAAATAAAATTAGCCGGAAACCCTGTCGTAATAATTTCAGGTTTAAGTATAATTATAGATAGTAATTATATATCAAGTACTAACATTATATTTACAACGGTTATAATTAAACCAGTTCAAGTTGTAATTACTGTAGTTTCACACCACGCGTAATTAAATGAAAGAACTTTGTTAACACTATTATTTACGAGCGTCGAGGCGTGGTGTTAAACAAATAAACCAGGTGATCTTTATAAACACCTCCATTGGGAAACATTAGGGGTTTGTACAAAACCACTTCATTATCACAACGGTGTCACGCGACCTACCAGCAGGACATTCATCAATCGCTTGGCTCACGACTCACGCACTACCCACGTTAGGCCTGCCCAATGGTCACACGACATGCGTCAAGTGTCGGACAACATTTAAATACATATTTATAAATGTCCCCAGCTTTCGAATCTCATTACCGATCTCACGATCAATTGGTCAGGTTTCAAGCATTATATATTTTTTTCTTTCAATGACACATTGTCAGAAAGTGAAATGACTCTTTTTTTGTTTAATTTAAATCGTAAAATAACCACAACTAATATCGTTTGAATATGTAGTTATAGTCACATGTATGCATAAATTTGTAAAATTCGCAGTTCGATGCATTCAAAGTCGGTTGTCGGTTCCTCTTTCGCTGTCAAACTCTTGAGATAAGGCATTCTCACATTTCCTGGGATGTCTGCAGAGAACTGTGTGTATTAACAACAAGAATATCATCTTAGCTGCTCACTTTATTCAGTTCATAAGTCTCGGTGAAGTTTAGTGATAAAATCGACGATACAAAGAGCAGAGTGGCGCGTAGCTTGTGACAGGTGGAGGGTGCGGCCGCGCCCTTATCGCGCGAGCTTGCAACTTTGCTGCGATACTTGCACACTTTCTCCAACATCGGGTCGAGCCAAGTCACAAGATCGATCGATCACTAGATAATACTTCAGCTTAATTCCAACTACATGTTATATTTATTCCGAACAAGAGAGATAAAAGTACTTTAAAGTATATATTTTATTAAACAAGAAAACGACCATAAATGAAACCATCATCATAACGACAAATCAAATACTTAGACACGAGTCAATACTTCAAGATGTAGATTGTACCTACTTGAAATCGTCCAAAGGGCTGCTTCGCTCTTGAGCCGGCAACTTCGCTAATATACGATCCAACAATTACCTTCATGGCAAACGTTCTCCACTTTATGTCGTCCCGGGCGAAATGAAACTTTGTATATTTAAGAGTAACACGCCCCATGTTTCATTAGTATATTCGTATGTTTGTTCACATTAACGACTCTGCAAACGTGGTATTTGTTATCTTATGACTTATTTGCTGTTTGTAAGCAATATTGGTTAAGTTATTTGAGACATTAAATACGGATTTCAGATCTGTTTTCACATGGGATTACACTGTTATACCCATTTAAAACGGTTTCATTTAAAAAATATAAAAGTGCGTGCGTGTTATTTTGTTTGTACATAGTTAATTGTAACATTTCCTTAGTAATTAAGTTACAAGTTGGATGAGTAATTACGTGCGCCTTGTGTAGGCTCAGTTGGTCCTAGCGACTTCCTTGTTCTGCATTATACTTGAAGATAACTAAGCAATAAACGCTAAACATGGTGCTAGTAGTTGGAACTCATAACAATGGGCCTTCGCAGCAACTTTCAAGGTTGTTCGCCTGCAAGCAGTTGCAGCCTTCGTGCGCGGTTAGACACAACTTTAACTCGTTGCTAGTTGAACACATAACTTGGCTAGTTTTATTAAACAATACCAGCCAAGGTGAGACCTTGTAGATTCTTTTGAAGATAGTAACAAAGTTGCATGGTCTACCTGCTTTGATTTTCTACCACAATGCCTTCAAACTTTTTGATATAAATTAAAACATTATCTTTGCTTTAACTACCAAACACGGTCTTTGCTTCTACATGGGTACATAATTAAATACTTCTATCGCTGACTAATAATTTATTTAGTCAGATTCCTAATCTCAATAGGATCACCGAATGAACACAATGCCAATGTAATGAATATTCATATTTCAAACATGTACGTTTTACTTCCTTTTGATGCGAGCTGAATATCAACCAATAAAATTGCAGGATATTTCTCCCTACGTCTTCAAGACGCTTTATGAGTTTATGGATGAAGCAATGTAGTAAAGTGAACTTATTGAGTTACATCACAATAAGTACCTCAGAATAAGTCTCATTGATTTCCTTTCATAAGTTGAAACCAACTCGGTAATCAAAATATTTTTGCAAAGGTTGGATTCCTACATGAGATGTAAAAGTTAACATTAAGACAATATGACATTAACTAATAATGGTAGTCAGTATTAAATAGCTATCTACTTGTTTCAGGCTCTTCCAGAGACAATAAGAGAGTTAAAAACTGCATTATGGAACGCTGAGCTTTCGGGGGGTGTGGCCAATCTGACAGGCGCCCTTACAACGGGCTTCGAGATTTTACATCGGGTAAGATACACACTAAAATAATAATTATAAAGCAGACTGATACGAATTTTCTTCCCGTACTGCATCTTACTATAAATATGTGCGTATTTTTCAGTATAATCGAACGGGTCTTGGGTGTCAATGCAACCAAGCAATAGCCGTGATCGGCGCGGGAGGTGGCGCTGCCGGCGTAAAAGGAGTGTTTCGCACGTGGAACTGGCCACACATGCCTGTCCGCATCTTTACATACCGCGTCGGTGGAGACGCTGCCGCTGGACATACTATGAAGGACATGGCTTGCACTAATAAAGGTACAGTTCAATTTACTACAATACAAATTAATGTACATGAACTTGAAAACGCAAAAAAGAAATGCATAATTTTCACATACTTGAATAAATGAATATCATCGATAACTATCATAAGGCATATTTTCTCACGATGAAACGGTAGTCTTGAATAAGGGTGCCGGCGTAACTTGAAACTAGTAAAGCTTTTCTCGTATTTTTTCTTATTTTAAAACAATACCTTAAAATTTTGTTATCATTTTGTCAGGTTTCTACGTGACGATAAACGAGCACTCTGAGATTAAATCGAAGGTGTTACACTTCGTGGAGGTGTTGGCTCGGCCGCTTGTCATGTACCAGACCATGCATCCCGTGCACTGGAGCCCCGCGTACGTTGGCGGAAGGGTAAGCAGAATCCATAATTTAAGTAAAATCTGTGTATAGTCACTGGTTTATGCCCCACCAACAAACTTAAAAAGAATCTATTGAAACAAATTTTAAGGAATTGAGTCTTTATATCAATTACATCACGGTCCCATTTCCCTAAAACTGCCTACTAACTCAGATTTTGGAAAAATTTTGCGTATCGACTTATGATTTGTATCGTTTATGGTTACAGAGCAGTAGCTTAGCTGATGATGGCATGGGCCAACTGATGTCTTCTGTCACCGTACCAATCTTCGATAGGAGAAACCACACGGTATGATTTTTCAATCTCATTTCTTTATATATTCAATTATTGAAGTATAAACAATTTATTTATTGAGAATCGATTTTCTTTGCAGCAAAGAGAAGCTAATTTACTCGGCGTGGTTGGAACTGATGTCCCTATCGATCAAATAAAGAAGCTCGTGCCACCATACAAGGTAAAATCACTTTTAACTCGTCCTAAATAGGTATACATTTCTACGTACCTATCTATATTTTCAATTTCTTATTATACGTTATGTTTCTTTATACAGTTGGGTGTGAACGGTTATTCGTTCATGGTGGATAACAACGGGCATGTATTGTATCATCCTGATTTGAGACCATTGGTATGTAAACCATTTTTGTGCAAACTTAGCCTTTATGGCGCAAATTAAACACCTTTAATACACAACTAATTACCGAATATTTTGTTACAGCATACGAACGAGGAAGTAAGTACAGAAAAACGATACGAAAAACGGAATAGATTAAGGTGTTATGTATTTAAGTAATTAAGGGGCAGGCTGGTACAGTACTAAACATGGCTACTATACTCCACAGTACACTGAGACGCTGCGTCCTCTGTACTCGAGTGTGGACCTCACCGACGTGGAACTGCTCGTCGACTCCGATGAGAACTCTAGGGTCAACCTCACCTCGCTGCTACTCGATGTAAGGATATTTATTACTGTTATTATTTAGATGTTATTAATTTAAGACTCAGTAAAAATGCCCTACGTCTACTTAGAACTTACCTACTCTTTAGCTAAACATTACTCATTTATCGTCATATCAAATTTAATATTAGCTACTCATAACACGGTTAATGCATTATAAATTCTAGATATTCTAGATACGCGTAGCGTAGCAATTGCTACGCGCTACGAACAAAAAGTTATTCCCTGTTTGAGTGTAACATTCCGAGTATTGGATACGAATAAAAAAATAGAACTATTACAATATTTAAATAAAACGAAGCACCATTTACTTTTCTAGCTCCGTCACGATATGATAGAACAGCGGGAAGGTGAGACTGAAATCGCAGTGAAAGTGCAATACGACAACATGAGACGTGTCGCTACCAGGCGACAGAGGTACTTCTACAGTCCGGTAGATGGCACTCCATTCTCGCTGGCCGCAGTGTTGCCAGACGGATACGGCATGTACGAACTGCAGGCGGAGCAGGAGGTCAAACACAGTCCTGTTAATGGTGAGTAGCACTCGTTACGTGTATATAGTAGACTTTTGCTGATGCAGACAATGCTTATAGCAAATCCCTTTTTGACTCAAAATAAACTGTCTAATATTTACGTCCCATACTTTTTCCAGTCACAGAATACTTCAAAGGTGAAAACTGGAAAGTTCATCCGGACTGGTAAGATTACCACAATTTTATGAACTTTCATGGACCAACTTCTAACGTTGGACATAGCAAATTAACCTTTATTTCTTCGTACATAGGGTGTATTGTGAATACGCTTCGACATCCGACCAGACGTTTAATTCTGCGGAGGAGCAACTATTGCACTTCTTGTCCCGCGCGGGTCGGCCTGGGTGGAAGTGGATGTCACTACGACCGCGCGCGCTCACACTACACAACGCGCACAAGAAGCAGGATAGGGACTCTTATTATTGTATGTATTGTGATTTTTCTGCGTAATAATACGTAACATGTAAAAATATTCCTTTGATATGACACCCTTATTTTAAAGTTGGTTATAAAAATTACAGAAATTTCTGCACAGGTACTGCGTGGCCTCTATAAACTCAGTCTAATAAAATATTCCAATAACTTCTCTAACTAGTGCTCACATAAAATCCCAATGAACAATACTTAGACGTTTTTGCTAAAAATCTAATGTATTTTATGACAAAGTCATTTTTGGAAGTGACTTAAATAGTCACTTCTTTGGTCTTTTGGGTCTTTTTACAAGAAACTAATACGGATCGTTGTTTCAGGTGATAAAACTTTAGTGCAATCATTAATTAGGGATGCAATGGTAATCAAAGAATTGGACGCTCACACTGGACATGCAAGCCACCACTCACAGTAAGTACATTTCATATTGAAGCATGTTCTAATTCAATACAAATCTATGGCATTTTCTCAACATACTGCAAACACCTTTTGTTTTTGCATTCAAAAGCAAACAATTGAAGGCGGTACGAGGGCTTAGATTAAATTATTTTGTGATCACATTGCTGCAAAAAAAATAAGTAATATGCAACTAGTAAGTTGGTACACCGATTGGCCAGTTATGACCTTCCATCCATTTAGGTATATGGGAAAATACGGAACCTAAAAATCCAGATTTCGTGCCATTTGTACAGAATAATTAAAGAAAACTTTAGATCTAAACCTTTATAGAAAAACAAAACATAATTATGTACATTAATCATGCAACCGTATCTATCAGTCATATCTACGTCGGATCCTCGTACCGCCATTAGCTCACCTTGAAAAAAGACCAATAAAATATAAGGCAATTTGCATGAATATTTATCAGTTTAGCACCCTGACGAAATATATAATTTCAGCACTTTTATGTTATTTTATGTGGATGACTAATTTGTTTGTGTTTGTCACACAAATAGCCCGATAGCGACTTTAATGGCACTCCTTACAAGGTAACGTAACTCTTGAGATTGGTTCAACTACCAGTAGAACTATGTTATAGTCATAACTAACTGCTAAGGACACGTATTGGCTATTGGAGTGGATTGGGTATAAAGAACACTGGAAGAGTTTTATTCGTGCAAATCAAACAACTCAGACACATTTATTTTTGAATTTTGTTTCGCACTTTATCTAACAACATGTGAAGATTATTATAATTGGTTTAAGCATAATAATACTCCATGGGCATCTTCTACTGAAGGTATAATTTTCCGGAAGGCGACTTTCCATACTGTAAGGCTGTTTTATTTCTTAGCTTAGGGTGTATAATTTTCGCTCGTTTTGCTTTTTATAATATAGCTTTCGAGGATCAGGTACAGTATACAGGTGTTTTGTGTGTACATTTAGTCAGTATTGATATTATTATAGACACATTTTTAGGATTACCTATAACAGTTCCTGAAAGTAAAAAAAAATTTTTTTGGCGATTTTAAGCCGAAAATCAGGAAACTCGATGAAAGCTAATTTATTAGAACCTTAATGTGTAAGGTACTTACTTCTACTGAAAATATCGGATTTTCTTTTCCCGCATTCCTTTTAAAAACAAATGGAAATTATACATCGTTCCTAAACAAAAAATATCCAATCAATATAAAATGCTCACCTCTATACGTCTTTACAGGCAAGGACGGTTCCACAAGTTCGTAGTGACGCTGTCGTTCATCGCAACACGCAGCGGTCTGCTTCGCTGGACTGAGAACGTCAACACCTCCAGGAGCACTGACTCATCAGAACCGTAAGTAAAAAAATAAGATTAATATTAACTGCATAATAATACAGATCACTTTACTTACCAAGTATTTGATGTTATTTATTTGGAATTTAAGCTCACGAGTGTTTTTTTTACAGGCATTTCAGTGAGAGATACTCTCGCGCATACGACTCGGAATGGTATCGTCGCGCAGTAGAGCACCACGCCATCGAACCCGAGAGCTTCGTATTCTCGGTGCCCTTCCGTGATGGCTCGGAGGCTGAGGAGCTGAGTGGTCGCCCTCCTCTAGTGCTGGCCACGCACGCTGTGTTCGTGGAGTCTCGCGGACATCGTGCACCCGCCGCCGTCGTAGGCCTCCACTTCCAGCTAGACTCCCTAGCAAAACACTTCTTAAACGTTACTTCAGCAGTAAGTCATATACAAAAGGACTACTCGCCATTTATACAATCTACTAAACTCTTACTTCTTTCTTCAACAGTGCACAGCTGGCACTTCTTGTAAGAAGACTTGCGCAGGCGACGAGTTAGACTGTTACATTTTGGACGACAACGGTTTCATCATTTTATCAGAAGACGTCTCACAAACTGGTCGGTTCTTCGGACAAGTCGATGGGACTATTATGGATTCACTAGTACAAGATCGAATATACAAAAAGGTCGTTGTACACGATCATCAAGGCCGATGTCCGGACTCCAGAAACTCATTTAGTGGTGACGGTCACAAAGTTTCGGTGAGTTTCTAGTAATGTAAATGTATGTACGAAAATTAGAAAATACATCCTACGAAGAATATTTATTATCTATCCAATTTTTGTTGTAACATAATACCTATTATTCTTTACATCTCAGCCTCTAAAACCACTATCCTGGCTCGGTGGATACCTCACCAGTCTACTTGCCGTATGGTTCCCACTATGGGAGCCAGTGCGCGCACGAGCCAGGCCATACGCTGAGGAAGAAGTTGGTAAGTAGAACATTATCATAACATATGTAATTATAACAACTCCATGTGAGAAAAGATGTTGAAAATTAATTGGTTATTTTCAGATTACGAGGACTACGAGAGTGAAGATATGGAAAACGATGATGACTTGGACAGGGACCGCGGTACCTATGAGATCATAATCGACGGGTTGGGTGAGAGTTCCCGCGACAGTGGCCGATCGCACCCGGGCCCCCCTCCCCCCTCGAGCGGAGTCCCCCCTCCCCCGCCGCCCCGCGAGGCAGCTCGCTCGGCCGCCGTGCGCCCCTGCGACACCAGCGCGGAACTGTTCACACTGCAGTCCTCACGACTCAACACCGCACAACCACTCAAGGGCAAGCTCACTAATTGCCATAACTCGGGCTGCGAGAGGTAAGACCTATTATGAATAATTAGTTTTTTACTTGTTTTCAGGAATCATTCAGTTTCTTATATACAATAGTACCTTTTTATTCAAATGGTATGTATGTATGGGTTGTACGACATCAACTAGATGTCGTGGTGTCAACTTCATTGGTGATGAAATCAATCATAATGTTTATATATAGCGTTTATCCGTAGAAACTACACCACGGTTGTGTGACTAACCGTGAGGCCAAACACACGATGATATTTACCTACTTTAGAATAAAAATTCGTCTCCAGACCGTTCAGCGTGCAGAAGATCCCGCACAGCAACCTGATCCTGCTGGTGGTGGACACGCTGTGTCCGTGCGGCGCCAAGCGGCTGGACGTGCGCGCGCGCGAGGCGGCCGGCCGCGCGCCCTGCCGCCGCCTCGCCGGCCACCACCGCCGCCGCCCCGCGCACTGCGGCTCCTACCATCCCGAGGTACTCTCATTGACTCCAGCGCTACACTTGTTACTAGGAATCCACAAAATATTACAATTGACATAATGTAACATGTAAATCTCCAGGAAATCGAGATACAATCGTGTGGTCGCGGCGGTCGATTGATCCCTGCGGTGTGGGCGGTGCTGTCCCCGCTCCTGCTGCGACAGGTGCTGAGCACGTGACTGCGCGTGCGCACGTAATGTTCTACCAACGCGCGGCGCCCAGCGCACGGAACGCCGGCGAGTCGTGAAACTTTCTGTACCCCACTCAGTTTCAGTAAACCGGTCGATTGTTTCAATGTTATCTCTTAGTTTCACGACATCTCCAGGGAAGCTTCATCTGAAAATGGCGTTCAAGTATTCTTGCGAGTGATATGAGTGGAGTGGAGTGGAGTGCGGTCTGTATGTATGCGGTGTATGTCTGTCTCTCCTCAGCCGCTCCAGCCGCCGAGTGGCCGGCGGTGACGTGGGGCCGATGTAATTGTGCCACCGCGCCACTCACCGCCGGGTACCCGGTACCCGGTCCCCGCACTCAGCAGCCGGAGCGTTTAACGAGGGGCTTACAGTTTTGATCAATTTTACCGACTGAAGTTTTGGTCCGACCAAGTGAACTTTTGATCTTGTTTTGAGACAGGATTATAGTCGAGTTAGGGTACGATTATTGAAATATTTTCTCCTCTCTGTTAAGTTGTCACTTTCATATTGTAACTGATGCGGACGCATACGGTAATAGGTAGGTAACGAATATCTTGTTAAATTTAAATTGAAGATTATCACAAACTTGGAGATCTTATAAATTATAGCTAATGTTAATAGGTATTGAAAGATAATTAATGTAAAATATTGATATCGTTTAACAGTTTTAGAAAAATTTACCTATGTTGAGACCTAATTCGATTTTATTTCTTGATATCTGTCATTCAATTTTATCGCAAACTTATTGAATAGTTGCATAGGGGTTGATGTAAATAAGAAATTATTTGTTTGTAGAGATATTTCTTTGCTGAATTTATGTGTGCCTGTGTAATGTAACAGTCGTTGTGTCGTCGAGCAGCGCGGCGGCGCCAGCACGCACACACGGGAACAAACCTATCACAGAGTACTGCTCGCGGCCAGCGTGTCCCCGGGCGCCGCGACGCCTGTCTCTTTGACGACTTTCCATTTTAGTCGTTAGTGATTTTCTCGCCTAATCTTCGAGTAATGTCGTAAAGAAACTGTAAACAGTTTCGTATTTTTATTGTAAATATTTTACTAACTTAAATGGCCTATTACAATTTTAAGAAAGTGTGTTGCTATAATATAGGTCGTTCAAATTCGACTTCTGCTGTCGTAAATATTAACATCGTCATATCGATCTGTAACAATAATTGTTTGCATATCATAATGTTCTCTTTCGATTGTTTCAAGTTGAAAAATAAGGCCTCTGAACATCGGATAAGTACTGACACTCTACTTTCATACGTAAATTTCAAATTTCGGAGTATAAGAGAATAAGCGTATTTACCTATTAACTTGTTTGTACCTAACCTAAATGTGAATGTTACATAGGAGTAATGATCAAATCCACATTTAACATTAAATAGTTTTATATATCATACCTATTTATTGAATAGTCATTAATGTACACGAGTATACGGCTTGCTATTGTCCGTATAAGTATTCCAATTTTTGAAACAGTTTAAAACCCCGTACAGTTATTCCTAATGAAGATAGCCAGAGTTAAAGATTGAGTGCCAAACCACTATTATACAATATGTGACACAAGCCGTCACTGTCTGCCCGCGTAGCTGTGAGTGTGGAGGACAATAGCAAGCTACACATTCTACACGACGTGCATTCATTGCAGCAAGCTCTCGGTGCGTACTTCGCGTATTGTAATGTTAAGAGGAAAGAGAACTGAGCTGGTTTAGCCGTAGAGTAGCCTTTTGTGGGCCTTGTATAAGCAGTGGTACCGACATTTATATGGTGCAGTAGTTAGTTACACAAGATACATAGATAATACAATTACATATATCTTCCGTACATTAGAGAAATGTTAGATTTGAAGCAATAATAAAGTTAACTCGGTGTATATTCCCAGAAGAGTGCCGAAGAGATTACCGCAGTGAGTGCGCGCGTACCATACAAGCTAACATAGTCATATCGTACACAGCATACTCACTAATATACTACAGATAATAATTATCGTTGATTGAAGGCGCTTTTGAGAAATTGTACATTTTGTATAAATAATACAGTAAGGAGTCGATTTAATGGCGTAGAGATTGTTTAAGCTGGTGAGTGGCGAACGACTGGTAATGTATTGAAAGTGCTTCTAGTAAGCGTCGAGTCTTCCATAGCAGTCGAACGCGGGGGCGAGTGTTTATTGTTACGTCTAAGTATTAAACGATAATAATAGCGTATACTTATCATAGCATAGGCGGAGCTCGCGTCTTGTACCACGTGCAGATATTTTTACTTGCACTTCGCGGGATTTAGTTCTATGTAACTATAGACACAAAACAAATACCTCGTTTAGTTACTCAGAATGTAATAGTTAGACAGAGTTAGCATTTATTTCGCGTTTAGTTCTTGGACATATCAATTCAGGCACCAAATGAGACTATAGAGTAAGCAATTTTTAAATGTTTTCTTGTATTACAGTATTGATATCGATTATTTTAATAAGGTCTTTATCAATGTTTTGTAGAGTCGCGGGACTGGCGCGCAACGTATTGATCCCACATTGACAGGGTCCTCGTTAAAATAGTTGTGCGGTGGCGCCATTACGTGCGAGTGGAACTTGTCACAGCGAACAGTGATATCTAACTTTGCCACCTTCACTAACCCTGTATCTTACATTTTTATATAAATCCTAAATTACTCGTTTTATCTGATAGACCTGTCAATTTCGTTCTAATGCTTTTTAGAACTATTGTCAAAATTCGATAAATTCTGGATAAAATTATATTATATATATACTATTTGATTGGAAAGCAAATGTTAACGTCACTGTTTACAATATTTTCTTTGGATTAGTTAAAAGTTGTATCATTCTTCACGGCAATCTGTGTGAAAATGGTTCTCTAGCGTAATTCTAGTAAAATACTGTTCTTTTTGTTACTTGCCAGTTCATTGCTATAGATATACAGTAATTACAACAATAAAGTTCTCTTATAACATTGTGAATGTGTCGCCTTTCTTTCTATATCCCCAACCAATTTTTATAAGTTAATATTTACAATGTTTATCCAACAATAAACAAAGGACTGCCTCGTTGGCCAAGTTGTCGCAAGTGCGACTGCCGGGCAAGGGTTTTCGGGTTCGATTCCCGATCGGGCAAAGTATTACTGGGTTTTTAAAAAAAATCTCAGTAGTAGCACGGAGTCTGGAAATGGGCCCGGTACATGGCAATGGGGTGGTATTATAAATAGAAAAGTGAAAAATAAAATAGTGAAAAGTGGGTGTTAAGTGGTATTATGTGCCGTAATGTGCACCTCTGCTACCCCTTCGGGTTGGTAAAAGGCGTGATGTTATGTATCTAACAATAATTGTACAGCAGCCTGTGTGGTTTGTACTTAACAGGTAAGTATAGACAGCATTGTGTGGATTCTGTCTTCCATTCTTCTTAGAAATCTTTTCTCAGTGATTTATTTAACAATTCAAGGGGCACGGCCCGTCCAGCCATTGGATTGTAAATGCTTCTTAGTGGTTGGTTTCCCCTTCATCTACTATGTAACTTTGAGTAACAGTTATTGATAAAATAAAAATAGACAGAAAATAAAGAAGGAAGATAACATAAAATGATTATTATTTATCGAAAATCTATTAAAGTAGAAAATATACTGAAATAAGAGACAATCACATGCAACAAATGCTTTATGATTGTAAATTATGGAAACAAATATTCCCGAACGATGTCTGAGTTTCCATGAAAATGTACCAGGGCAGCATAAAGCGAGTAGAGTAAAAAAGGCAGTAATCAATCGTAATTGTGAAATAGCCCCCTATTTAGTGTATATATACACTTCTGCTCCTGGTACTTGGGAACGAATATGATGCATTTTTATTAAATTCAATCAGTCAGGTGCTCCTTGTGTTTCTCCGCATTATTGTCACTGTGGAGAAAGAGTCGATGGCTTTTTTTTTTATTCGATGTCGATGGCTTGGAACACCATGGTCTTTCTTGTTGCAGAAGTGCAGGCTGTATAGCTCGCCATGCCAGCATCAACGACATCATTCGTGCTATTGCCTCAGCCGATGTACCAGCCGTATTAGAACCTGATGATTTGGTACGTGATGACGGCAAAAGACCAGATGGTATGTCGTTACTGCCTTGGAAGATGGGTAGGCCTCTGGTGTGGGACGCGACGTATGTAGACAGCCTTGCGCCATCACATCTAAGTACGCCTACATGCGTTGGTGCAGCTGCTTCCGCGGCAGAGGTCCTCAAACGGCGTAAATGCTCAAATCTAGTGGGTTACTACTGTTTTGAGCCGTTTGGGATCGAAATACTTGGGCCATGGGGTCCCAGTGCACACTCTGTTTTTAAAGATATTGCCTATAGGCTAATCGACTCTACACGTGACCAGAAGGCTGGCTATTTCTTCGGACAGAAAATAAGCATTGCCATTCAACGTGGCAATGCTGCCAGTCTTCTGGGAACGTTCCCCTATGATAGTGATGCGGACGAATACTTTGACGCCTAAATTAGTCGTAGTTAATTTTAAGTTGTAAATATTTATCAGCCGCACATTTGTAATTTAACGATTTTAGTTTATATACTCTTTTTGGTGTATATTAAAGGGTGTCGCCTGTAGGTGGACGTTTCTTCGAAAAATTTTAACTTTTATTCAACAAATCATTATTCTCCCGCGTTGATAAGCACCATGGTAACTTATTATAGATTGTATTTTTTATTGGAAGCAGTGCGAGAATTTTTGTATTTTAATCAGCAGCAGTTAACTTTGGGTTGAGGATAATAACGCCGTTATGTTTAATAATCATCCAGGTACATCAAATGTTAAAAATAAATAGGGTGATAAGGAAACAATAATAGGCAAGGGAATAATTTGTAAATAATTGTTTCTTTATTTATTTGCACAGGGTAATTTGCAGAACTAATGGATGGATCTGAATGAAACTTTTTTGTTGTGTAGTTAGTAAGCCTAGGCAACCACTGTATTCCACCTAACAGACAATGGGTTTAATTGGTCGTGACTCTTATAATAGAGACCAATATGAAAAAAATTATAAAGACTGTGTTGAATAAAATACGATACTGTAATATATGATACGCTTATATTAGACAATAATAACAGTGGTACATACAGAGTTACATGTACAAACTGGCTGCAAAGACGATGTCTCTCTTGAGCAGTTTGATGGCTTCGCTGAACTTGTTCTCCAGATCTGTGTTGCCGATGTTCTTGGCGGCCTGGCACAGTTGTCTGAGCACTTCCTCTAGACGACGCATACATCTGATTATGGAACCTGCAAAATATATAAAAGTTGTGTAATAATAAAATTCGATCGTTAAAAGGGAATGTTGGCATTACTCACTTTACTTGTGTATCACAAAATGTTTAAAATACTGGTCCATGTTGCACCAAACTATGTACATTATTTTATTCTGAACTCTTCCAGTCTTTTCACTAGGAAACAGTATTCTCTGGTACTTTATTTTCAATACATATACTTTAACCTTGCGAAAATTAGTAGAATTACAACTTGATGTAGTTAACAAAAGAATCCGCACATAAAATTATTCAGTTATATTTAGCTCCTCTTGTATATACATAAGTGCATATGTACTTGCATACACAATACAGACACTTTGTCAAGAAACTGCAATCTTTTTGCATCAAATGAACAATAGTAGCCAATAAATTAAGTGTTAACAATATGGCCATTGGACATTGAACGATGCTATGACGACGGCCATGTCAATTTCATAACAGATAAAGGCAAATCAACCGTAAATAAAATATGACTATATTGTGATGGGAGGCGTGTAGTCAAGCATACTTTTTCCTGAACAATCGTGTATTGAATTTGAGATGTTAACAAAAAGCAATAACAAAGTAGTTTAAACTAGCTACGGAAGTATCTTCTTCTTACCTTCAAAGACGTCAGTCATTTTGCAGATCTGTAAGAAGGAAGCTCCCTTGGCCCAAGTCAGCACCACGTCCATCAGCGTACACTTGAACTTGCCCACGTATTCGTCCTCGTCGATCTCCATCTTAGCGTCTTGCGATACCTTGGCTATTCTACGAGCGTATTCCTGAAATAATAATTATCGTATCATTTTAAATGTACGTTGTTACCTGGTAATTTGAATTCTATGGTAATTTCCGAATACTCAGAATCGATTACAAAATTTTTGGGTATGAAAAAAGCACAAAACTAGCAAGTGTTCATTTGTCAAATGAGTTGACGAAACAAAGTACTCCTCTATTTCTTTGAAACGTACTCAGTATCACACTACACACAAGGTTAATATTTCATGAATTAAAATGCAATGGCGCGATGATCTGAAGTCTAAGTATCAGTTTGTTTTACGTTAAAATTAATCGAAACAAGACTGCATTCGGCGGTCTGATTGGCTGGCTCCAATGCACCAACCAAATCAGATCGGCCAATTAGAGCGCCGAACGCTTACACGTTTCGATTACTATTAACGTAAAAAAAAACTTGTACTAAGGTAGCATTATCTCACTTGTAACTGTCGCAACACGCCGCGTAGTTCCTCCCCGGTGGCGGAGGACTGCGACGAGTTCTCGTCACACACGAAGCAGCTGACGAGCGCCGCGCTCTGCTCCGACGTGAGCCCGTTGAACACTCCGTTGAATATCAACTCCGTTAAGAGCAACTCATCAGCACTGATAAAAACAATAAATGTATATTAATACGTGTCCTAAATTCATTATGAAAAACAGTTCAATATTTCAGAACATACCTACATATACTATAAGTTGTAACTGATTCTAAGGGTGATTAAATACTAAACCAAAATCTCAACCTCATTATGCCTCTGGCCATGAAGTGGAACCAACAGTTTAATAAATAAAAATGTTTACCTCCAATGTAAAACGTTTTTCTCACCTGCTCAACTCACAAGCGATACGTCCTTTCAGTTCTATGACATCGGCGGCCGTGCAGTATCCCATTCGTCGTAACACTCGTTTCCTCTTCTTGAGTTCGTCCATTTGCAGTATACTCTTGGCAGTCTTCAGCTCAGCCTTGGCCAACGTGAGTTCCTCATGAAGTTCCTGCTTCCTCTCATACGCGGCTGTCAGCGCGCCACGACTCTTGTCATTGTGCAGGGGATGAGCATACAGTCTGCAACAAAATGTAATAATAAGCGAACTACATCTATTTGGAAATGTTTAAAATAAAGTAAGTTTGACTCAGACCCCAGATTCATTGGATGCCGTAAACATTTGCTCGTAGGGGCTAAAAAAATATTATATATGATGATATGTAGATTTCAGGCCGGCTGAGTCGTAAACATGAAATCCAAAAAGTCTTCTTAGTCTTAAATTAAGAAACAAAATAATAAAAGCTCTTACCTTTCTTCCAAATTCTTTATTCTATCAACACATTCCTTAAACACTGGCTCAGTGATTTTCATATCTTTAATGGGGTTCAATAAAGGTGGTCCTTCAGGAAAACGTTTTTTTACTTCACCAATGGTTTTTAGCACAGATTTTCTATTGTCTTTCGGTCTTAGGTCTTTTGGATAATACACCCTTAGGGAACTAATTTGATAGATGAGTGTGTGCAATACTGGAACCACTTCTACGTCGCCTGCCTATGAAAAATACAACTATTTTTAGCAAAACATCAATTGGTAAGGAAAGTATATTATGTATGAATAGAGATGGTCTCCCGTATGTTATTGATTCTTTTTCAATGTTTCCTTACCTCCCCGGGTGGACATGGCACTCTGCTGTCTGTATCATCTTCGGAAGTCTTTTTCACATGCAACAAAATGTCCACCAGGATCACAGCTTCTGAATTTAAAGGGTTCTCCTCTCCCTTCTTGCCTTTGCTCGTATTATGTCTAAAGTTTATTATAATGCCCCAATCATACTCATGTTTTTCCGTTTTTACCTGTGGAGAGGTCAAATTACGTTGCTTTTGTACAACTTGTTTATGTGATATCAAGAATGCACGAATGTCGAATACATGTTGATGCCAATCACCATAAAAATACCTACATTCGATAAGTATTTTGAACTAATTGTAAGACTTTACTGATGGAGTTTTTTTAGTAAGTTATGATAAGGTATTTTGACAATTAAATATGCAGTTAAACATTTTATCCGAATATACTTGAAGCGACATCAATAAAAACCTGCTAATTAATGTCAGGCCCACATGCCCACGTACCTCAGTGTGCGGCCTTCAGTAATATAAACATCTCTAAAATTTAAATATTTGTAGAGCGTCATCTTCAATCAAATTGTCTGGCCCAAAATGGTTCTCAATTTGATTTTTTTATCATACTTAAGTTTTTGATGATAATAGCTCTGTCAGCTATATTTAACATACATAACTAATAAACTGTTTTTCTTTAGGTTTTGGGATCGCAAAAAGTTACATAAGGGAAACTTATTATACTAACTAGGTACTATATTTCAATGACAAATATTTAAATTTAAATGAACATTTGTTGATTTTCTACACTACACTAACACCTCCGAAAAAGCATAAAAAGCAATAAATACGAAAACATACTGCAAATCATAACCTTTATCACATCACATTACAAGCAAAGGTAAGTCACAAAGTGTAAGGAAAATCTTACCTTAACAAGTCGTCCTGGTTGTAAGAAAGGCTTCAAGTACTCAGGCTTTGTGATGAAGGACCTGAACTGTGCGCCCAAAAGGTCTAATTGCGACCTGATGTTGCAGTACGAGGCTATGGAGTGCTCCTCCGCGATGGTGAGAGCTTTGTACTCCTTCTGTTTTGATTTCACTTCTATTGGACAATGAAGGAAGTATTGATAACGCATACCCAACGATAAATTTCTATTTCTATTTTTAAGAATATTTGGCTTACGAATTGTAATTTATCACTATCTAGCCTAGTGTCTAACATTTTGTATTAAAGTTGTGATAGTTTTATACATAAAAATAATGAAAAAATTAAGTGCCACTCTTAAAAAGAAGACCATGGTACATACGGCCACACATCAATCTATACAAAACTAGTTTATCTTAGTGTCGCGTCGCATCATCTTTCCGCACATTTAACGTTCAGTTTATACTGGTTATGTCAAGCTCGATGTGTAACCGTGTGTACATGGAATCCATAACATTACTGTTCAAATGTTAATGAGAAACCTCCCCTTTGGCTAATAAAAGCAGGTGATGTTAAGGATTTAGCACAAAATACTCAGCAAAGCTATGAAAATTCAATTTAAGCTAGAACAAAATAACTTACTGTCTATTAGATCGGGTATTGCCGCCTGGTTTTGAAACTGGAAGAAACTCCTTTCTAACATATACTCCGGATTGATTTCTTCTACTCTCAATAAATTTAGCACCTAATGGAAAATATTTTTGTTTTAGTAAATATATACCTACTTACATTTTAATCACAATTTATTCAAGTACTAATATTAAATATACTCAGATAACTTGAGAGTACAATGTAAGTTTATAAATATTTGTCACGTTTATCGCACTAAAATAGCTGAACTGATTACGATGTCGGAAATAGATTAGTCTCGAATAGGGCATAGATTCATTTTATTACCGACTTCAAAATAAGGAGGAGGTATTATCTTCGAATGATTGTCTTTTTTTATATGTGGACACTGATTACTCCACCGTTTGTGGACCGATTTTCATTCTTCGTTTGTTTGAAACCTGATCTGATCTAGGAATCCCAGGAATCCGAGGGGAACTTTTGATTTGAAACTTATAGGAACAACGCTGTAAATACTTTGAAGAAGTATTTTAAACCAGTACAATTTGAGATAGGTCTGGAGTCGATCTGATGATGGAGCCGAAAGACAGTCGAGGTAACTCCTCAACGGTTAATAGAAACCACCTTGTGTTTTGGCTTGATTAATTTATATTGATGAGAACTTTACACCTAGATGGAGTGGGACTGTCATTAAGGGTCTGATGATGAAAAAATGTTATTAAGGGAACTCTTCAATGGTTTACAATCACTACCTTGTGTTTGGGCTTGTATAATTTGTAATAATTAGAACTTTGCACCTATGTGGATTATACGGGTCTATGCTTTACACTAAAAATTATAAAATAAAACCTATGTTTAAGAACCCGACTTTAAAAGATCCAAAAACTAAAAACAAACAAAAAGTAAAAACTAAAAAGCAAACGAAGTCGGTAAAAAATAACTATTATTGGTACTGATAGGTTACCCACCCACTAATAGGTTAGAAGTCGGTGCCATAAGCCCATAACAAAATGATATAATTTAAGGGTCACAAAATTGTCAACAGCTTAGGTTAATTTTGTTTAGAACTTTAGAACTTGTTTAGAACATGATAAATATGATAATAATATGTAATGCATTATGAAAACACATCTCCAAATGAATATGTCAGCAACATATAGATAGTAAATATAATAAATAACTTACCATATTATAAGTGAGATGGAAGGCGGAGTTGATGGGATCGGCTTTACCCTGCACCATGCCTTTAACGACAGCGGGCGTGACCTTCTCATCAATCATCAGGATCACAATACCCTTGTCATCGAGACCTCGCCGACCTGCGCGTCCCGACATCTGGATGTACTCGCCTGATGATATCTAATTATCACAATAATTATTAAATTCAGTAATAGATAAAATGTTTGTTGAGCTTTTCAAGATATACAATTCTAGTTATGATTAATGAGCAACTTAGTAACAAATCAAAAAAGAAGAGGTACTTACAAATCTAAAATCTTTTCCATCAAACTTCTGGCAGCTGGTAAACACGACCGTTCTGGCAGGCATGTTCAGACCCATAGCAAATGTCTCAGTCGCAAATAGTGCCTGTATCAAAACGATATCAATTTAGATATCTTCAAAATGTTCACGTATAACCCTTTAAGCAAATTCATGATTATTATCTCCACAAAAACCAAAGAGGTACGTCGCCTCACCTTAATAAGTCCCAATCCAAATAGAATTTCAATAGTTTCCTTGAGAATAGGCAGGAGACCACCGTGATGTATGCCAATACCGCGCCGCAGCAAAGGAATTACGTTCTCCACCTGGGGTAATTTACGGTCGTCCTCAGACAATACATCCATAGCATTGTTAAATACTTCGTCTACAAGCTTCTTTTCCTCAACTGAACACAAATAAAAATTAGTATTAAAAGATGTTTTTATGAGGTTTTAAATACATAATAATCCATAAGGAATTCTACTTACTTGTATTAAAGTCCAATTTAGCCATCTGCATGGCATATGCTTCACAATCCTTTTTACTGAAACTGAATATGATAACAGGTGCGAAGTTCCTTTCCATGATCATCTTAACGATGTTAAATATATTAGTTTGATTGGCGCCGCGTGGGCCACCGCGACGGCCACGTTGGTCGCCCTTGGCTGCGTCACCCGCGTTGCTCAAAACTGCCATGGCAGTGTTGAAGTTGTCCTCTTTAAATATACCCTAAAAATAATTATATAAGTTAATTACTTATGCATAATAGTGACAATGATAGGAAATAATAAAAATAAATAACTAAGTTCATCCTAGATATGCGTAATTAAAGAAAGCTACGACATATAATTGGTATAAATAACAGAGAATATTGAATTCCAATACAACTTCTGATAAAACAACCACACGCATTCACAGCCATGTGTTCTAAATACGACAATTACAATTACTAGAGACGTAATTGAATTTATAATATACATAATCTAGTTATTAGGTTTTACCTTTTCATCTACCACAAGATGTATACCATCGCCTCCAGCAGGGAATATGTAGTGTTGTAACGGAGTGGGTCGGAACTCGGTGTACACCACATGACAAGGTTGAGAGTGCAGTCGACAGACCCACTCCGCAAACTGACGGGCATTAGGTATCGTAGCCGACAGGAACACGTAGTGTACATTATCAGGCAGTAAAATCAAGGTTTCTGTTATTAAAAGAAAAAAATTTAAGTTTAACAAATGAAAACTCGTTACTGACTGACAGTTGGTGTTCAATAAATATATAGTTTCGAAAAACTATTTTAAATTCATTATCACATTCAATAAGCCAGCTATACCAAGCCACGAAATTATGAACAGCATAATAAGTAATAATTTAAAAGTGATTATTGATGATACTGAATTGTTTAAACAGAATTAAAATTCTGTCAACTAAAAGTTAAAGAAATAATAAATTGTGATAGAAATTTACGAAACTGAATTGTATCCTGTCTTCTAAAATAAGCTAAACTGGAACCTCTAGGCTAAGCTACAATGTAAATATAATAAATGCTCTGATATGTTATGTTGAAATGTACAAAAAAATTAAAACATTTCCCAACCTTCCCAGACAACACCTCTCTCTTTATCCCTCATGTAATGAATTTCATCAAAAATAACCCATCCCACTTCACGCATGATTTCAGAACCTCTGTACAACATATTTCTCAAAATCTGTAAACCAAGTAAGCCAAATGTTTAAGTAGTTATATAGAAAATAAAATTTTACTAGTATAAAAATCATGAAAAATATTTTGTCTTACCTCAGTAGTCATAATTAAACATGAAGCTGATGGGTTTATGGTCACATCACCAGTTATAAGACCTACATCATGAAACTCTTCGGAAAACTCCCTATATTTCTGGTTAGACAGAGCTTTGATAGGAGTAGTGTATATGACTCTTTGTTTGTTCTTCAAAGATAGAGCTATAGCATACCTATGGAAAAAGTAAATCAATATGATACTTCTTATTTGATTAAAAAAATGTGACAGCACAGTATTATTTTCACACACTGTATTTAGCAACCCCCAAACAACAACAACAAATTGCATAAAAATTATTGTACTCTGCATAAATAAAACAAACAACATATCACACAGCAGTTGATAGCACAGTTCACAATAAAGAACAGTTTAAAAGCAAAACATATTGTATTGCACAAAATTTTGTAATCCCGCATTTAAAAGTTCAAATCATACAGAAAATAAACAGTCAGAAAGTTAAACAACTTACTCAGCCACCACAGTTTTTCCAGCAGATGTGTGAGCGGAAACCAATACGGATTGTATGTTGTCTATGCAAAGTATAGCCTCCTTCTGAAATGGATCCAGTATGAAACTATACTGTTTTGCCGGCTCTCCTGTGATTGGCATAAGCGGGGCATATTCATGGTTTGGTGGTATTGCCACCTCGTGTGTACAACCCTCATGGGTTTCAAGTGTATGTATTACAATACGAGCATTCAAGAGATCTAAACTGAAATAATAACAAGAATTTCAGACGGTAATTTATACAAAGATTGATAACAACAATTTCACAATGTCAATACTTCAAGCATATTGAATTAACTTACTTTATATCACTGGTCAATTCTACATCATCTTCGTCTGCTTTTTGCTTTTTATTGATTTGTTCAATAGCGTCTACTTCTTCGTGCAACCGTTTTAAAGAAGTAGAATCTGTTGGATTTTCAGCACCCCTTGAAATGAAATACTCATTCATTAAGTAATTTTATCTCTGAAAAGCTTGATATGTGCGGTGAGTGTTAAACAAGTGAGGTTAACTTACGGTTCACTTTTTTCTTTCTTAACATCAGGAAGTTGAACAGGGGCTTCGTCCGCTGCTGACTCATCAAAACAATCAAATAAACTATTCACGTCTGCCATTTTGCACTAAATAGGTCCAATTCTAATGCAATAAATTACTGTTTTTCACTATCATTTAATTTACCCTAACCTCCAGCATGTCGCCACACAACAAACACATTCACAATATTTCACAATTTCACATTGACATTGACGTAACCGAATATCAATTTTGACATTTCTGGTTTTCTGCTGGACGCGAGTTCGTTCATTTTACACATACGTTTCTTGTACTTACATCACTATTTTTTGTAATATTTAATTTCTTTCGGGTATTATTTTCTAGTTAAATTATGGTGAAGAAAACGTTGGTATTATCATTGCAATATCCCTAACAACGACGTTGAAAAAGCCCTACATTTATCTTCAACCTTTGCTCTTGCTAAAAATGCAGAAGACTAAGAAAAAGATTGAGACAAACATTAAAGATGAAAATATCGGTTTAAAAACTTGTTACAGACTATGAATGCCGATATCGTGGAAGTAAACATAACCAAATTGTATTCCGATTATATCCGATTGCTTGCTTTTCATATCATTAATATTCAATTTAAAATAAAATAACTGGCAACTTTTATTATGAGTCAACGGTCACGTGACCACTTGACGCTTGGGTCTATTACAATTTGATTGGTGCGTTTAGCCAGTCTTGTGAAACTTAGAACAAACATTATTTTGTATGGAGTTCGTAACATTCAGTGTACCAACATTCAGAAAAACGTTGAGGTACCAACACAACAAAACGAACTTGGTACTTAGTACTTCCGATAATTGACACAACATGGCTGCCGCCTTTGTGCAAATTTTTGTGTTGTGATTATTCTGTTTGTTTTTTCCTTTTTCCTTGTGATTTCGGAATTTAACCTAATAGAATAATTTATTTTATTGTGTGTTTAACGTTGAGTCGAGCAACTGTTCCTCCGTTTCATCTTTACGTGGTTTTATTGAGACATTGACTCTGTTAGTGTAAGTGATTCTTGTGAGATATTTGACTCTTTTATATTAATTTGTTATTATTACAACCTATTACCGAGACAGTGACTCTAAGTTTGTGTCTGTGAATACCTTGTACATCATCATGGGCAAAGGTCACAGACGTTGTGAAATTTGCCATACGAACGAATCTTGGCCTAATGCTAACAAACTACATTTTTCCAATTTTCCCCTGGATCAAAATCGGTGAGTACCTACTTATTACCCATTGTTAATGGAAATGTGAATTAATAATTCAATTCATCGCTTATACGATACTTTCGAACCGTTAATTAAGATTAGCTGAACTCAAATAAAGTTTTATAACATGAAAGGACCATGAGCACCTTGGTATGCAAATTGAATGTTCATCCGACAGAAATGAAATTTTTAGTAAATTACGAGTTTATAATGTATGGAGTTGTTGAGAAAATCACACTTTAAATGTTTGGAATTTAGGTTATCAATCACTTAATTTCGTTAACTTCGTTAATGATACAATCATCACTGTAGTACTTGAATTGATACATCAAACAAAACATCAAATCTTTTACCCACTGTAAAGGTACACAGAGATGTACGGTCGCAAGCAGGTTAACCTATTCTTTTCTGTCAAAATTACATTTCTAACTTATTGTATTGATATTGTCGAAAATCCCATTAATGACTGTATAATAACTCTACAATTATAAAAAGGACTGACCTTTTGCGAGTTATGGTACTATCTGCTTATAAGGAGAACGATTTTATTTATTTTTTAAATATAAACTTTAAGCCTCTGTATACTTCTGTATTAAAATATATGTAGGGAATAATAAGTTTTTGGTTTTTACAGTCACCATTTACAGTTTAATACGGTCACCAATTACAGATTAACTCACATTTTTTAATAATAAAGTTCTAACTTAAGACTAAAAGAAATAATGTGCGTTAATATTCGAACACCGCACACAACTATAGATGTTGCTAATGCTGGGGTAAAATTTCTTTAAGCGAGCGAGTGAGGTTTTTGTGTTACATGTAAATAATGTTTATTAGCATCATCGTGAACACAGAAGTGAAATTTAAATGCATGTCCTTATTGGAATAAAATTCTTTAAATGCTTATTATCCACCTGTAAGACCGTTTTGTAAATAAATATAAAGTAGTAAGAGTATGATACAAAATTGTATGTTTATATATTTTGGTATTACATAGTTTGGTAGTTATTAAGAGTAAACATTAATTTTTTGTGTTTCAGTTGCCGAGACTGACTAAAAGCAATTGGAAATGAAGAATTGGTTCATCTACCAATAGAAAAATTGCATGAGAACCGAAGTGTTTGTGCTAACCACTTTAGAAATCAGGATTACAACAAAAAAGGCAATCGTCTGAAAAGAAATGCAATCCCAACTTTAAATTTGACGGCCTTACTTCTCACTGATGTACAATTGGCAGAATTTCCACAGCATGTGTTTAAATATTCAGGATCAAAAGGTAAATTGAATAAATAAATTCTACAGTTTATTTCTACCATAAACCAGTTGATCTGGCAAGCATACATCAATTAATATTATATTATGTCAATCTTCTGTTTTGTGTGAATTTTCTGTTTTATAACAATCCAAATCTTCCCTTAAGTGTTATGAATATTTCAAGTCCAACATTGGCTTAATTATTTACGAAGTCGAGAACAGTAATTAATTTGTATACTTACATCACCGGAAAATACCAAATTCCGTAAGTTTATAAATTTTTTAGGAAAGGACAGATTTGCGAAGCAAATGTATGAAGTCTGGGCCTACCCCTCAATATCAACATGTCAAATGTCATCAGATAGGATTTTTAAAATTAAACATTAGTTACTAATATACGTATGGTAAAATGTCTGTGGTTTCAGAGGTACAACATCCTAAAGTCTAAGTATTCTTTATGATTCAAAACTCCATATCTTTATTGTTTTTCCACATTCTAAATAAAGGTATTACATTAAATTATGGACCCCATTGAGCACAGCACGAGCTGGGACGCATGCATGCATTAATATTCAAACAATTTATCTCTTACTAAATATAACTTTGACAATTTAAATTATTATTCTAATCTTAGAATTACTATTGGATTAATCTCAACTGCATACTTCTAACTTACCTACTTACATCTATTAACTGTTGTACATTAATGAACTTAGCAGATGCTCTAATATTCTTTATTTATATATCAATCAACTCATTATGTAATATGTATTTATTTCATTATAATATTTTTTTCTATTCTTATTTACTTACATAAATTTATGTTTTTATTGAATTCTATCTTTAATGCATTTATATATCTTTAAAATACTCTTCTGTACTATAATATAATTTATTAGGAATTGTTAATTTTATAATAAATATGTTTTTTATCTTCATTATTTTATTTCTTGAGGTAACTTATTATACATTTCTATTGAATTGACCAAAGTTCCTGAAAAGTGTATTTTTAATCATGATATTGGTAGTCTTTTCCTGTTTCGTACTCTTGTAGAATTAAATTCAGTACATTTACGAACAAAATTGTATATTTCATAGATTTATATTATACAGAGTAAGGTCAATATTTTTTTTCTTGGAAGTAAGGCTTCGTAACTTACGACAATGCGCTTCTTTTATGTACATTAAGATTCTAATGAACTTTTTATGGAGAGTAAATAGAGTGGTATGTCTATTGTTTACTATTGGGATGATGCCAGGGTATGAAAATTAAAAATCCATTTAGTCCGTAAGTTAGGCAATGAAAAAATATAAGGCTTTTATTTTGTTGTATAATAATATTGTTGACACGTTATTCCCACGTATAAAATGTACATAGAAGTGACGTCACGCGACATTTAAAATCAATATATAGTCGAAAGTATTCGTTTCTGTAAGAAAATAAAAAATAACATGTTATACAGTTATCAAAAACAGGTACAATTTCTCATTTAGGATTCATAACAAAATTAAGAAAAAATCTTAAGCACTCAGGAAATAATTTGGATACTCAAGACATTTTGCACTGTGTCTTAGTCAGCCTATTGTTCAAAAATAATTAACCAAAACAGCTTTATTTTGCTTTAGAAATTCCACCAGCTACTGAACAGATCGAAAATATTTAGAAAGTGGAGTCTGGTATGTAATTTATTTATTTATTTATTTATTT